TTTCTGGTCAGGAGTAAAAACAATAATTAGTTTTTGCTGCAAATTGTTCGGTCAAGAGTCATATTTATACAACAATTCTACCATAAACAAAGGTTACTGGAACAAATAAATTGTGTTCCCAAATGAAGGAAAATAATACCAAATAAATGTGTATAAAATATGCATTTTTTGTACAAAAGTGTTTTCAGTAGATTCCTAGTATCTAACATGTGAGAACTGAGTGTACCGAACATGTAATCAATAGTTCCACCATTCATCAGATGTTAGCTGATTCTGAGTTGATCGGCATCGAGGAGGTGGATTCCAAGAACGGTCAAAAACTCCGCTGTTCTCCTTTTGCTGGTCTCCGAACTGCCCTGCGCCCCTTTCAGTGACTACACGGGTTCTGGTCGGTCTCTGACTTTTCTACTGCTCCATATGCGTCCAAATCCAACACAACATGCTACTGTCGCAAACAGTCTATAAAAAGATTCTCACAACTGAGATTTCGCAGACGTTTTCCGAACTCACAGCGTGATTGAAAGCACGAGAGTAAGCAAAACAGCCGAAGGTCGAAAATTGTACTTCCGCTTCAATTTCGGTTCGATCTTGACCCCGTCTTGCCCGATAATCGTCACCGTAGCCACTTGTCTGGCCAACTGATCGTTACCGGCCCAGAGTTCGCAGGCGTACTCACCATAGTCTTCCATTTGTACCTGCATTTGAAATTAGCTCACGAAAACTATCAGAGCAATCAAGTTACCTTTCTGATTGCTAAAATTTGTCCTTGTGCTTTTAATGAAACACGATCTCCATCTACGAAGAGTGGTTCGCCATTCAAGGTCCATTCCTGGGAATTTGGATTCATCAAATATAATTTCTCAGTGACTTGAATTGCAATGTGAAACTGTAGGTTAGTTGAAAAATTTCACTGTTGTGCCTACAGCGGCACAGAGTATGCACTATCACAATGTTCATTTTGATTGCCCAAGAAATGCGTGGACAACTTCAAGCCCCTTTTTGAAGGAAAACTCTGTGCCGTGACCCGAAAATATCATTCACTGGGCCCTAGACGTACATCATTTATCCATCAATAATGAGTAGATATATTTTTTGTTTTCAATACTGATGGTGGTTTTAGACCGGATAAAATTGCCGACAAAGCACCGGGATATTCAGGACAATGCAAATGCTGTTTGAGCCAGAAAACAAGCTATTTTTCCCAAAAAAGTGTTTTCCAGTTTTTTTCTCGCTATTCCTGTTCTAGAAGACTTAATAGTAGATGTTGGTCAATATCGTGCCTAGGAAGGTTTCGATAATTTCAGATCTGAAAATATTACTGAGCCCATGGACCAGAATGAATAACAAATTCCTGATTTTGACGTAAACTGAAGCAAATCTTTGCTGCATTCTTCGAGAACTCGCCCAGTTTGAATCAAGACATGAGCACAGTTAAATGTGTCATTTGGACAAAATGTTTCGAATTCACGAAAGCCGAAGGTTATTGATAGCCTGATCAAGTGGCACTTTTCCTCATGAGCCCACTTTCCATGTTGCTTTAGAAAAAAAGCTGAAGCAGTGGAAAAACATGTAACCAACCTTAGAGGCACCGTCCACCAAATAAGGGGTCTTGAGCTTTTGGCAGCTTCCGATAGCTGCACATTCTATCAAGCCAGTGCCCACGTCGCGGCTCAAAATGTTGCTTCAAAAGCGAGAAAATCGCTTCGGAATAGAGAAGAGGCATGAAGATCCCAAGTCGGGACCGCCCCTTCTAGTGATTACCGCCCCTCCGTGCGCCCATCCAATCACTGTTCCGGATAACCACGCCAAGGTTCCTCGAAATTGTAGGGTTTTCGCGGACTCTCGACCTCATATTCGGAATCAGGGAGATCAGTAGGCCCCGGAACGAAAAAAATGGAAATCCAGAATTCGGGTGGACGGTGCCTTCAAATTTTGAAGTACTATTTATCTGCGATTTACCATACGCTGTGATGGATGAGACAAGCCGGCGTAGCAGTCGAGTAGGAGAGTTTCATTGACGTTGATTACGGTGTCTTTCAATGTGACATTGAAAGAATTTTCTGTAAGCACAGGCTTATAAAAGGAAAACAATCAATAATAAGAAAATTACCAAAAATCCGTAATGTTGCGCTAGCTTGAATTGAGCCAGCTTCGTTGACTGCATGACATGTATATACTCCCTGAAAAAAAGCTTGTATCCTTGATTCAACTGGCTTGGCGGCTGAAGGCGGGGCTTCGTGACCTATTTGGCTAGGTAATGATCAGAGAGCACGCTCGCGGGAGAGACGCAGACTGCGTAGAGTGCGCGAGCGGCCTTTATTCAGAAAGCCCCGCCTTCCAGCCTCCCAGGCAGTTGAATCAAAGGTTATGTTAAATATAGGTGATTATGTGAAGACCTACCTGATCCTCAGTGGTAACATTAACCACATAGAGATGATCGTCATTGGGTCTTACAAAGAGACGATGCTGCAAAGCAGCTGGAAAAGCTGCTCCCCCATCTTTCGACCATTTGATCACAGGTGGTGGTATTCCTAGAATGGTATGTGCCGTAGCTATAACAGGAACACAGTATTACTAGATAATAAATTACAAACCTGTAGCAGCGCACATTATCCTGGCATTTTGTCCCACAAGCAATGACATATCATCGGGTTCACTAGAAAATACTGGCACTTGGAAAACCTAAAAGTAAAAGTTACTTGAACTTATAATTTTGATTTCAAATACACATTCTCACCTTCAACAGTGATCGAATGCTATGCTCGGCAGCAAAGCGATTCCTAACTACACACTGATACTCAGCCCCATCTTGAAGTGACACATCCAGAAGCAACAGTTCAGCGCTAACCATCTCTTGCCCGTTTATAGTTCCTGAGGAGGAGCAGGTAGAGGAGGAGAATTAAATTACTTGACCTACCATTGACAATAGAACTACTGTTCACACTCATCAGCGTTGTTGAATCTGGAGCCAAAGTACGCGGTCGACCTTTCTCAATAACTCGCCACTAAAGATAGCCTTGATTTCAGCTTCGGGAACAATAACTGTGGTCGTCACTAATATATTTAGAAAAGACATTCAAAGAAACACATTTTCATGCACATTCAATTGATACTTTTAATATAAGATAAATTTATGTAGGTTTTCAGACTTTGCGAATGGCGCTAATCGTATGATCAATACGCATGCTAAACAAGGATAATATGTTTGAATACCTTCAAAAGTTCGATAACTTCTTAAGCTGAGCTGACACTCAGCAAATTAACTTCCATCTCCCCATAATTTACTTGGTTGTCCAAAGAGAAGGATCCTCCGAGAGTGTTTCCCTTATTGATTGAAGTCGATATGAGTTACGATACTTACGATCACACTGAACGACAGAACTGTGCAAAATCTGTCTTTACATCATCAAGGAGTCTCAGAGTTTTGCAAAAATTACAAGAGGACTTCTTTCCTACTCTTTTTGAAATTTTACGATTACAAGCTAGAAAGTCTGAAGTTGCTCACAAGGGAACGATCCAACTTAAGGTGGCGAATTGGAATGAACCGCATACCATTAGATGCGTCTTGATGAGCTGATTCCAAATCTACCTTCTGTATCTGCGACAACGTTATTTGCAAAAAGTTATGAGCGGTTGAAAATGTGAAGTTATTGAGGTTTTAATGCATAATGTGCCTCAAAATCCAACTTGAAAGTGCACGACTAGCATGATATTGAGTGTACTGATTTCAAGGAATGCTCATATTCAAAAGGAACACAAATAAGTGTTTTTGAACAGCTAAAAAGCAACTAAAGCTCTCTGGTAGAAGCTGTGAGCAATGAAAAATCCAATTTTGGCAAAGCGACGCCATTTCTCGAAAATTAGTTGTTCAAAAACACTTATTTGTTTTTCCTATAGAATGTGAGCATTCTTTGAAATCAGTACACTCAATATCATGCTGGTCATACACTTTCAAATTGGATTTTGAAGCACATTATGCATTGAAACCCCCAATAACTTCACATTTTCAACCGCTCATAACTTTTTGCAGATAACGTTGTCGCAGATATGGAAGGTAGATTTGGAATCAGCTCATCAAGGCGCATCTAATGATATGCGGTTCATTCCAAATCGCCACCTTAAAGGCAGCGTACACCCAAAATCTAAGTTGCCCAGTTTTCTAGATCTTTCTATACCATGTATATATTGGGCCCAAGAGAAGACCAACTGCGTTGGTCCGGTCTCCCAATGTTGCTTCTAGGCGGAAAACCCCCCTCAATTTTCTTTCAATCCTCCCCTTTTCTTTCGCTCCGCCTCCTCCGGACTCCACGACAGCGTAAGCTTCAGTTGCCGTTGCAGTTGCTGTTGCAATGCTGTTGCATCTGCAACTGCAGTTGCAACAGTGCAGTTGCTTTTTGCGGTGCGCCTCCTTCGGGCGACGAACCGCAACAGCATATGCAGCAGTTACAGTTGCGACTGCAGGCTGTCATGCTGTTGCAGCTGCTGGCATGCCGACGGGGACGAGCAGTTCGAAACTCGTCCGCCCTCTGGAGAAAAGGTCCCCGGAAATCGGGGTTTTTTGGGGGGTTTGAAGAATTTCAATGTCATAACTGTAATCAGGGGCACGGAAAGGCCCCAGAATGACAAAAAAATCGAAGGTGAAATTTTGGGTGTACGCTGCCTTTAAGTTGGGATCGTTCCCTCGTCAGAAGTTTTAATCGCGCCCACAGATGCCTACCTATTGGAGATGAGCCAAATTTCCCTCTATAATAGCTATTTAGCGTCTGATACAGAAAATTTACTCCAAAGGAATTCAGAGTATGACACAAATGTCAAGAACCGGGAAGTTCGCATCTTTTTTTTGCAAAAAGTGTGTCCAGTATCGTGCTTTGAATGTATTCCATTAGGTAAACAAGCATAAATCACATTTCAGTGATTTATAACCGTTCACCACACAAAAGAAGTATTAAGCCACTTCTACTAAAATTTGAAATTCGGTTTCCCCACAAATAAATGATTACCTCGACTTGCAGTGGTGCATGACCGTATCCTGAGCATGTGAAACGGGCTTGTCCTCCCACTAGAGTGGTGACACTCGTTGCTGGCTGCTCGATGATGTGTGCACGAGGAGAGTCATCCACTAAAAAGTTTGCAGTCATTTTTATGAAAGATAATTCTACTTTTTGTTTCCAGCTGGTTAAATTCTGATGAATAGCTTAATGAAAGCAGAGATACGGAAGTTCTTGAGAACGTTTTCAGATTCAGGTGAAAGGCAGTCCTGCAAAAGTTGCATAATCCAAAAAAGCAGATCTAGCAAAGCTTACCAAGCTCAGATTTCTTACCATAGATTGCATATTTCTCGGCAACTTCAACATTAGAAAAACCACGCTTACTTTTTTCTTCTAGCAACATATGTAAGCATAGACAGTCGTCACTCTTATTCAAACAATCGATTTGTGCAATTGTATCAAGTTTAAAAAAAGAACAACAAGAAAGTGGCAATATCAAAGGGTAAGAGACCATTTTCACATTTTAAAACCGGTCTCGTGCTGATTTTTGTATCCTTGAGGTTTTTCTCAATCATGATAGCGATTTTACCGCCACATACTCGCCCTATCATAGATATATATTTCAATTTTGGTGCAACTACACAAAGTTATTGGAGTAAGAACGTGTCACTTTTTCTTTCGCTAGTATGCAAAATACGGAGGGTGAATGAAACGGTGATGGAATGTTCCATTTAAGGAATCTGGAAGATGTTGTCCGAATCGTGCAGCGCCTTTGCGGTAACCTTGAGGTTTTTCTCAATCATGATAGCGATTTTACCGCCACATACTCGCCCTATCATAGATATATATTTCAATTTTGGTGCAACTACACAAAGTTATTGGAGTAAGAACGTGTCACTTTTTCTTTCGAGAAACAGAGAAAAGCGTAGTGAAAAAGTCTAAAAAATCTAGATTCCTGGGAACGTGGTATATCATCTTTTCTTAGTTTTTTAATACAAAAAACCTACCGCATGTGAGATTGCTCGCATCGATAGCGAATACGTCAATGCCGCTGAGTGGCAATGGGTGGGCGCATCGGGTGTGTACTGTACGACGTGAGAGCTTCGATGAGACGAACCATGAGGAAAACCAGGCAAGGTGGCAGTCGCAGAGCAGCGATGAGGTGTCGAGGTATCTAAATATGGGAGGAAGTGGAGTACACAAATGCAAAATTTAGTATCTATAGTTGACGCATTAAAAGCGTCGTTTTGATCGTTGTCCCTGCTTCTTACCGAGCGTTACCGTAGTCATATGAACGCTTGATTTGTTCAAAAGGTCATTCGCTTGCCTCATTGCGTAGAATATCAATCTCTTTACAGTGCAGTGCATAAATCCGTAGCACTTTCAACTTATTATATTAACAGTCCAATCATTTTCACGCACCCTTGCTGATTTGATGCAAGCATCCGATAGATTTTTGACTAAATGTTTGATTTTAACAGCAAAATAAGATAGAATGAAATAAAAACAAAATTACTCGCACGCAAGGCAGAACTCTCGAAAAGCAGCTATACAAAAGCACCTTTTCTCCAAAAGGTATATGAATGAAAAAAAGAGTTAGAGAAAACAAATCAGAGTGTGATCGGTAACAGCTTAAGAAATGTATTTTGGCTTAGCTCACAGCGGGAAGAGAACTCAAAATTCTAACCAAATCTCACCACAAATCATAATTCCTTGACTATTACATAGCTACATAGATTTAGATAATATAAGTGTTGACTCACAATTCGCGGAGCTGAAGTGGTGCAAAAGCTCCTTGATGAATTGTGGTGATCGGATTATCGGCAAGATCAAGATATTCCAGTGCAGGGAAACGTTCAAAAGCTCTGAATTTCTTTCGTTACGTGAATAATTCTATCATTTCTTGTTAGTAATCGAATAATTTGTTCTCGAAGCGTAATCCTTCTATGTGTCAAAATGAAATTTAAATTTTGAGAATTATACAACTTAAGAGGGAATGTTTTGCATTTGGGTTGGTCATTGAGGGACCTGTCTAGGATGTAAAGTTAACTCTGAACGCGCACCTTGTTGGTATTACCCGGATCTGATTATTTCTAAATTTTAGCGACTTCAGGAAAGGCATGGATGTATTGTATAGCATTGCGTTGTCCTCCAAACAAACAGCCAGAGAGTTTGACGAGAGGTCCAACCTGAATTATTTTTTAGTAATTGTCCGAAAGCTGAGCAGTAGATCGAACTCACTCGTTCAGTTGGTCTAATCCTGCCATTGCTGTCTTGTGGAAGGACTCGATTGAATTTGCAGACAGACCAAGAAATTCCAGACGGGTGAGGAGACGGAAAGCACCAGAAGGTAAGAACTGTAGCTGATTGTTATGCAGAGACAGCCACCTGAAGTATGTGAGTGAGAGAACTTGAGGAGATTCTAGCAGTGAAAAAAACGCTAAAAAATTTGCCTCAAATCCGGACACTGCTTCCAAGCATTAGCATCGAATGACGAAATATGATTGTGTGACAGATCTCTACAAAAATTTTATTAAGCTCTCACAATGCGAACCAAGGACTTTTACAATATGCTATTTAGACCCGCAAGAATTTCTTATAACAGTTAGACTCACAACTGATGTAGACCTGACAATCCGAAAAGCCACTCATCCGAGATTGCTCGCACATGATTTCGCGAGATATTGAGCTGAGCCAATGAACCGCAACCGAAGAACACCCCATCTTCGAGTCTGAAAAAATTTTATATTGACTCTTGTGTTGAAAACGATAGACAAAGAATATAAAAAGGGTCGGTTTACCTAGATATTTCGTTTTTAGCCAGGGACAGGTTGACCAAGGATCGCAAGTTGTGGAACGCCAACGATGACACGGAGCGAATAAGATTTTTTGACAGATCACTAGAAAGAGTACAATCAAAATTCATAGTCTTAAAAAAGCTGTCAAACTTACATCGTTGTCAGGAAGTCCAGCTGTCGAAAGGCGTGACTTTCTATAGACTTTATTTTGTTCTTGGATAGTCTGATCCATTGCAGTGAGATCATCGATGAAAATATTCCAGAAGGGAGGTATGAAAGGAGATTGGATGCCAGGTCCCTGAATAGTTGGCTTGATATATGGAGCTCATCAAGTATTTTTTACCCAATCCAAAATCACTTCACGAATTTCATGCACATGCAAAATTGATGTGATCTTAGATCTATTTAGAGCCAGATTCAATTAGCATTCAACAACAACGGCGATTTTTGGAATCTTGGAATTCACCACTGTGATCCAACTTATTTCTTACACAATGCTACCATTTTTCATCGTGCGTAGTTAATCAAAAAAGGGCAAAAAATAAGTCCAACTCACAGTTTTTCGATGACAGACGTGAAATTTGTGTTCTGCTGTTTCGGCTTCGGCCATTCTTTGATGAAATTTCTTGAGAGATCGACGTGCCGTACTCGCAATAAAGAAACAAGGTCAGATGAGACGACGGTAGAGATCAGGTTGAGTCGACTGAATAAAACCTATCAAATTATGAATTCGGGAGGAAAAAGCGTAAAAGGCGAGTACAGGTCAAGTCTCAGCAGCTGAATTTCATCGAGGCCTTTTGGAACGGAGCGAAGGTGATTCTTTCGGAGATTTCTGGAAAACGGAGTATTTCTTCTGAGAATTTTAGGAAATTTGTTTGCACTGACAAAGTTCGGAGTCGTTTGAGCGATCGGAACGCATCTCTGTCTATGGCACGGATGTTATTTCGGGAGAGGTCTCTGGAAAATAATTATCGTGTTACTTATAACTACTATTTATGTAATTTTACAAACTTTGTTTAAATCAACAATAACTCTGCGCATATACAGTACCGCTCATAAATCCTCAAAGTTTCCGCTAAAGTTCACGGAAATCTGCGCCGCATCGCCACATCTCGCTTTTGAGTGTATGAATTCTGAATCAAGCACCTCCCACTCAGCTCGGCCATGTCGAGCCGCATCTCCTGTTATATGAAAGTGCCCTATGTATACGGTAGATGCACAGTAAACGGTCAGGTCTCACGAATGTTTTCATACTTTTCTTACGGTGGGTGTCTCAGTGTGTATTCTGTGCCACTGAGCAACCTACCATGAGCAAAAATCTATGATATTTAATCGCCCGCCACCCCATCCAAACGGGCACTTCTACATATCAGAATGTGCGCTTCGCCCAAATGATTCAAACGGTCTCCCTAAATTCAGAATTTGTCCATTTTGAGCTGAAATATAACGATGCGACCTGGATTTTGGTAAGCTTTAGTGGTTTTCGTGACTTTTTCGACGAATTATGAGCAGTATTTCAACATGCGCAGCAACTTAATTTCAAATGAAAGCAGAAGGACCTAACATACAAAATTATTCGTTCATATTACTAAGCTTTGCATACTATCTGCTCCGGTCTAAACATAACTTCGATTATGTAATAATCGCATTGAAATCCGCGCATCTTTAAAAAATACTGAGGTGTATGTAAGTCATAGATCCAAAAAAGTGACATCTATGACCTTGACATCGTTTTCATACCGTATACCTATTGTACGAGTTTGCCTCACAAACTTAAGCGCTCGTAAACATGGCAAAAACTGGGATGTTCAATCATCTTAAGTAAATTTTAAACGGTGTTTATGGCTACATTCAAGTTCACAAAAAGTAATGTTTTACACAAAGGTACGAGAGGCACCATATTTTATTGCCTCGAAAATTTCTTTATCGAAAAGTGCTGATTTATTCTTTCGAAATGCTATTCCACTTTGAGCACGATGGCCATTTAATGGAATACATAATTTGTTACTGTATATTTGGCTGAATTCCGTTCTTTTTACCACGTCGGACTAAGGTTCACGAAAGGAATACTGTATCGATAGTGGGAAGTCAGATGAATATGGTAAATTACCTTTGTCAACCAATTCAAATGTTTTGACTCAATGATTTTTTCTTTGCGTGATGTCAAAATGCTATTTTTGACAGGATCAAAAACAAAACTCGACATTCAGTAGACCTATCTTCCTCGAGAGATCGCGGTGCACATTAGAACAAATACTCTCAACAAGATGAAATTGTTTACTCACAAGTGGATGAGACTGTCTTCGAGCCCCGCAAAACTCGATTGTTCAAGCACTTCAAGAGCATTTCCGCGCAAATCACTGAAATAGCTAATGTCTACTGTTCTCAGTACAAAAGAACAAGAAGCTCTGTAGACTAACAGGAACGTGGTTGTAGGAGGGACATCTGCTGGCACTTCAGTCAATCCTCTGTTCGAGCAGTCGGTTTTACCGTCATCACTGCACAAGCAGACAGATGGGCAGGCAGAAAGAGAGGTGAAGACAGTAGCGAGCAGGACGAGTGCGAACAACATTGGCACATTACTTTGATCTGAAATAAAAAGAGATGTGAAGGACAAGAAGGGAAAGAGCATCGCTTAACATCTGCATTCAGACAAACTTTCAACTTGCTTCCACTCATTTTTAGAAGTTCCGGGTGGGCAGATCAGATTTTAAAAACACCTGGATGCGTCTACTTGAAAGTTCAAAAGTCACACAATCGGGACTGCCTCCTTCTTTGGTATCGCTAAGGGAATTCGACAGATGCCCGGGTAAGTAGAGGATCCCTATCGACACTCACAAGACCCCCTACCTGCCCCACTGGTACTGCTTCCCATGTTAACCCTATCAGTCCCTCCCCTAATTTACTGTAATGACCAAAAAAGCAACATTTGACATTTTTACGAGCTCTGTTGCTTAGATTCGAACACACCCTAGAGGATTATAAAAAGAGTAAAACCAAGGTCTAAAGTCGAATTTTTGCTTGGCGAGATAGTGCTAAGAAATTCTTTAAGGAACGATTGTATTCCATGGTATCTGCAAAATTCGACAGTTTTTAGCTTGATGATAAGCTGCCATCACAAAAACAGCTCAATTTTTTACAGACACCAGGGTCACAGAAGGGCGTGGCACGTCGTTAAGGATACTGTATCTGATGACAGACATTCAAAAAAGCATAAAAAACAGCAATACAGAACTTTTTGCAGTCTGACAGACGTAGAACCGATCGAACCGTCGAAAAGGGTGTGTGTAAGAATCTACAAAAAAAGACTTTTGAAAAGCTCCCATATTATAAACAAAGATACAATTCAAGCATAAAAATGATTTATTAGGTAGTGTTTAAGTGTATTTGGTAAAAGCAAGAGTTCAAGAACTCAATCGAAAAAAATTAACTTTCTGTTTGCAAAAAAATCTCGATGCGGGCGTTATCACGGAGATGCGCAGGTACCAGTTCCCGCGCGAAATTCCCATCTGTCACAAACAGATGTTGAAGCTTTCGATGATTCAGTGCCAAGCCCCAAGAACTTTTTGTTTTGAGTCAAACTGAATGCGAATTTATAGCATGACTCAGAAATCTAAAAATTCTAGGCAAACGACGAAGGGGTAAGATTGGCAAGGACTAAAATGTTGAAACGTTTGACATTAGCAAGTATCTTTAGACAGTCAAAAATGTGATATCGTTGGCAAAGATAAGTTCCGCCTCTTTTATGCAATGAAGTAATTTCTCATTTTTTCAAAACATTCTATTAAAGAAAATTAAGCCTAATTTCAACACCAGAGACTGTCGACCCTTAGTGCCTGAGATTTCCGAAATATTCACGTTTCATTTATCGTATAAACTTTCAAAAGGCCCACAAACATGGATCTATGAGCCGCAAGCTGACTAGGCAGACGTTCAAGTTCGCGAGCTCCTAGATCCGAAAATCGAAGATATTGTGGGCTGAGTTTGAAGCCAAAGTGACTTCAGAAAGTAGTGAGAAATTCAAAAACTTGTCATTTATACGTATACTGTGAATTTGACCCAGTACACTTAGATGGAGTGCAAACTTTGTCTGAGATGAAGACAAAATTTTTGAGAGTTTGAAGCACGTAACTATTCAATGTCAAACACGCTAGTAGCTAGGGAGCGTACGATTATAAGACTAGGCGTAAGCCTAGGTTCAATTACTCAGTTTAACCTATCCATCTAATTTATAAGTGAGATTTATAGTTTTTTCTTTTTTCTTCTTTATTTCATACTATAATAATTTACAATCTTCCTTCACTAATGAGTTCCAGGAAAATCGTATACTGTGCCTAATATCCGTAAAGCGAACAGGAAGAAAAGAAAGTTAGGTATTTTATTTTTGTTTTTGGTTATTTATTAGCATTTCCGCAATAAAATTTAAGAAAACATATAAAAGGTTTTTCCTATCATTTTGAATATATTTTTGCTCTAAGCACGATTTGACGTGACTTCCTCTCTGCAAGGTATGTTGAATAGCAAATTTTTGGAAGTGGATGAGAGTGCAATTGATATATGAAATGTACTTCTTAACAGAACTAATGATTCCGAAAATGAATGGCAGCTGAAAAATCCATCGATTTGATAAGACAAATCTTCACCAGAATTTTATCATTTTGCGGATTAAACTAATACTACAAGAAATAGTGTGTGTCAAGAAGCAATACGTGTCAAACTGAGATAAAAATATTCGATTTTTACTTTGTCATCATTGCGGCATTCCCCAGATCCGAAATTTTTTTGCGTCCCATTACCGTTTCGATTTTGATCTCTTGCAGTAAACTCTTGTATGGGAGTCCAGTCAAGAAAAAGCTCTCAGCTCTCCTACAGTCATATATCACTCACCAAATCAAAAAAGCCTATTAGTTCAGCTAATGCCCGTTTGTAATCCTATATGTACGAGTTTTTATTTACAGTGAAGAGCATAGGATGAATCTTAGCGAAAATTGAAATCTATACAACTTAAAGGAAACGCAAATCTCCGTTCAAAATTTGTAGCCCTAAAACCTCAAATATTGTCAACAAAAACATGCAAGCGTAGCGAAAAATTTATCAATGTGTGGAAAGCTGGGAACTCAATACTTTCTTTGCCTATAGAGATAACACTGTTGTATGCAAAGCTTACCAACGCAACAAAAACAACCAAGTTTTTCAGTGGGAGCCGCTACAATACTTTGGAAGCATTCACATCCAGAATCGTGCATGTTCTGCGTTTTGGGTTTCTGGGTCTGCTATCGGTTGGTCGAATAATGCAAGAAGGAAAAAGATGAGAGAGGTTTACGGTTTTAGCGGAGAATTCCGCGCGAAATTGAGTAATGGGTTTCAGACCATACAAGAAAGCAAAGTGTCAAAATTGTGATGTCGTAGAATTGGCTAGGTCTTGATAAAATTTAAGAGTCGCGATAGAATTCCTCTTCAAAAGAATCACCCTCCAGGTAGATTTCGTGGATTGGGAAACTGAATGAACGTTGTATGAATAGACAAATGTTGATTTTACGGCTGGTAATGAGTGCTCGGTTGAGCGATTACATCATCATCATCATCATCATCATCATCATTCCTCCGATGTTGCAAAGAGGAGACGATGTTAGGGGTTCCAAAATAAGAGGATGGACATTCATGAAAATACATATCCGATTGAGTAAGCGATCAGCAAGATGTGGCGGTATCTACAAAAAGCCGGAAATGTGCTGTGAAATGAGTTCGTTAAAGAAAGATGGGACATTGTTGGCGATCCCATTAACGGACCTCAGTAAAGGCGAGTGGCGCCAGTGAGGCGGCCCTCTGCCTCAAATGGGCCCCTTACGGATCCGCGACCGAACAGACAAGCACGCCATTTCGAATACAATGCCTTTTTGACTTCAATTGCAGTGCTTTGCAGAAAAGCAGATGGTAGGCGAAAGTATAAGGAGAGGGGGAGGGAAAAGAAGGCGCAAAGAGAGTAAAAATGCAAGACAAACGAGGGAATGGGGGAGACTAATGGCGGCAATAACTGGGACTAAATTTCTACTTTTAGCGTGGATTTTGCCAAGTTCAAGAAGCACAACTTCACCGCGGTCACACGGTCACGACAAAGACGCAGAGCTGACTGTGTACAGAGCGAGCGAGCGCACAGACGTGAAGGGGCCGGAACGTCGTTGAGAGAGAGATAAGTCGCGATAGTTTCACTGTGCAAATTGATTCATTAGCAACACGTAACTTAGAACAAGTGCCGTTACTTTTTGGGAATTCCAATTGTCGTTCGGCAGAATCTTGTTTCGAAAATTTGCAACGGATTTCACTTTCAGCGAAATGTTCAAGAGTAAAGTGTGTCAGTGTAAAGAGGTTTATTAGGCAATACCTCCCGCGCGTGTCTATCCCCGGAAGTGCCACTGACTTCAACTTAGATTTACTGTTTGGATCATCAATCGCTCTTCATGACTGCATGATTACGGTAGGAACTTTGAAGAGAGTTGGAACATCGAAGACTTTACTGCTTCAGAAAGAACAGACGGCCTCGAAAGAGATGCTGATTTTAAGTATGAAATGCGCTCACTAAAGCTCCTTCAAGTTAATCAGGTAATAACTTGTTTCCCAATGTTCCTCAAAAATACGTTCACTATGTGAAAGGCTTTGAAACTTGTCAAAAGGTTGCGTAGGAAATGAACATGCATGAACACCATCTAACACAAATTTCCAGATTTTTTTTGGATTTTTTTTTCAAATGGCTCACAATGGCGCTGCATACTGGACTTACCGTAATTCTACACCAATAAAGAGCGATCGGTGATCCGCTTTAAAGATCAGTCATACTTCGTCGTCGCGCCATATTCAGTTGTTATGACCGTTCTTAATCTTCACGATTCCGGACCCATAAGTTTACAAACTCTGAGCGCCTACCCACGCGCGGAGATTTGCGGACATGGCAGACTGCCAAGCGGACAGCGTATCGCCGCGATTTTGGAGAAATCTCGCGAGGTATATTCGATGCTTTATAGTGGAAATCTAATCAAGCTTCACGGAATGGTTTTGAACTTCGACAAAAGAGTGTGGGAAGAGAGGTATTGCCAATCAAAGAGTGTTTACATACTTCTGGAACTCTCTGTGTAGAGATAAAACACTCTATCCCATCATCAACTGCAGATTTCGAACATCCTGATACCTGATTAAGAAACGCATCGTTTTTAGTTGCTCACTTTCCTCAGATATTTTTGTGCAAAAAAGAAAACTTTGACCTATCGCACACTGACCGTTATAAGCTCAGAGTACGGTATTATTGTACTATGCACCATAACTTGAAAAAAGTCGCATTCTAGTTCCACTTTAGCAGAGAACACGTTTACATGCTACGTTATATCTCGAGGTGAACGCCCGTGACAGTTCGCATGCAAAACTCAAAACAAAACAAATGGGTTTTGCTGACTCAATGTTTACATTACCATACCACCCACCAAACTGCACCGTGGACTCAAGCAAGGTCTTCACTAACCCCACCCGATATTAACAAAGACGTTTAGAGACTATGCGCGATCTCATCGCTTTTTTCAGCAAGTGAAGCACATACAAAA